AAATACTATCTTTTTATGGCTATTTTTCTTTTTTTCAATTTGCTTAATTTTCAAATGCCAGCCCCCCCCTCCCCCACTYTTCAATATGCTCCGCGGTCCCTGCATAACCAAGTGTTTCGCTTTTTTTTCGACTTAAAAAATATCGACGAAAAATACTATTATAATTCAAGGAATTCAACTCTTTTTTCCCCTGACAAGGTTGTTCACCGTGATCTCAAGCCAAGTAATATAATGTATGCAGATGATAGCGGTACACCAGAATCCCTCAGAATCGTTGACTTTGGTTTCTCTAAGCAAATGCGCGCCACAAACGGACTTCTAATGACCCCTTGTTATACTGCTAACTTTGTGGCACCAGAGGTYCTAAAGAAGCAAGGGTACGACGCAGCCTGTGATATATGGAGCCTTGGGGTCCTTCTTTATACCATGCTTTCAGGGTAAGAGAAAGTGTCTTGAAAAATAAGTAATGACGAAAAAGTAAATTATACAACGTGAAAAGATGAAAAAACTTACTGACGTTTCGGACGCTAGTCCTTCGTCGGAGTAAAAGGGTAAGGAGTAAAAAATGTTTTGTTGAAATAGCTTTTTGKTTTCTGTAATATACTTAGAATAATGTTACAAAAAGCGCTATTAGCATTACCGTACTTATACACCTTAAATGCGCGGGAAGCTTCGCGAACGAGACCCCCACCGCCTACCCCCACCAACCCTTTAGTCAGAAGAGTTAAGGCGCTGTTGAAATTTTACCAAAGTTCGTGTCAGGGCAAGATCCCGTTTTTCGCTCGCTGTGCCCTCTAGAATAAAAAGTCTGTCAKAAGACAAGAGAGGCCAACTTGTGGTAGGTCTAAGGCGCTGTTTACAAAATCAGGGAGGTATGACACAAGGCATTATTTCTTTCAACTTGTCTCGCAATTATGTTATCATAGGCTGTATCGTCGTGTTATTTGAGATTCTCCACTTGTTGTTCCGATAAAAGAACTGGGTTTACACTTCCCCCAGCAATTGCGGTTTGCAGTGCYGCAACAGTATTGCAAGAGAAGCTTTTAGTAGAGTGATTTTCATAAACCTATGAAATACATTTTAGCGTGTTTAGTACCATTACGCTCTAACTCCTTTGTTTTCTGTTGTTTGAATCTGGCTATTACCATCTACTAAATAAATTTTGTTTCACGGATTAGAGTGCTTTTAGTCTCACTGTTGAATAGGTGACGTCAACTAAATTACATAAGTTATTTACTATTTTAGGTGACGTCACCTAAATTTGAAACTACGAGTAGACAGCTACTGAGATCAGGGGGAGAAACGATGATACAATTGAATACCTATCCACTCATTCTCTGGTAAAACAACCCCCCGGATTAGCATGGCTATTTGGCGCGCTTTCAYTATTTTAGGTGACGTCAACTAAATAGTTATCTAAGTTAGATAAATTTATCTAACTATTCAACAGTGAGACTAAAAGCACTCTAATGAAAACCAGTCTAATACACAAGGACATTTATAGGAAACTACCCAATGTAACAGGTAGCACTGATTATTTTGCGCTCAGGCATATTGAATATTTCCTTTTATTCCAGTCTTACACCGTTCGCCGTGGGTCCTGAAGATACGCCTGCTAATATTCTCGCTCGTATTGGTGAAGGTTCGTACTCGCTTGCCGGCGGTCCATGGGATGCAGCTTCTGACCTTTCAAAGGTAAAACTTCCCAATCCTTTTATATTCAGCTATCCAACTATCACGTTGTGTTACATTTGATATGCCTACCCTGGTGTTTGAGCTTTAACTGCGCAGTCTGCGTGAAGCAGGAACCGCGGGGCATCGTTTTCAGTGGGGGAGCTTTTCTGGGGGGTTCGTGGGGAATGCCGCCCAATCCCTGAAAATTTTGAARTTAAGGCGTTAATGCGCGGGTCACTTGCACTAATAAAACCCCAACCCCCTCCCCCCTATTTTGGCGCCACAAGGAAATACAAACTAAGGCAAGTTATGAAAGGAATCGTTTTCCCATTTTCCTGCAGTGGCGTATAGGGGAGATACGACGAATTTAGGTTCCAAGAAGGGCTTTCCATCAAGGAAGTTCGCGTGCTGTAAAAAAAAAAAAAAAAAAGAAAAAAAAAATTGTTCGTACGTATCGACTTCCTATCTTGAGGTTCTCGTATAAACTTTTTTCTTCGTTTGTATTTCAGGATCTCGTCAGACAAATGTTACATGTAAATCCAAGACTTCGACTTACCGCAAAACAGGTTCGTAATGACAGTTCAAACTGAGCCGATTGGAATAAAGAGTTCATTCCCAGTGGTTTGAATTTCTACCAACTATTTACGACTTATTACCGAGAGACTTACRACTTTGTACCGAGTGTTTAACGACTATGCGAATTCCGTAGGCAATAGAAATACGGTAACAAGTGCATAACGAATTGGTTTCAAAAGACTTGTGTACTTATCCAGAGACTAGCGTATTCGTATCTAGTWAATAACTAGGAGTTTTGTAAAGACGAATTATAATCTCGCTGTTCGTTGTTGTGCTAGTATTTTATTACAGTAGATTTCATATAACTGGAAAATGGTAGCCTACGTAGCCAATCACAGCGCTTGAGATTACYRTCATTCAACTGTCACGGTCATGGTGCCCTCGGCACGGCACATTTGTACRGCGAATTGTTTACTCCTAAAAACAAATGTAACATGAAGAATAACTTGGTTTGTTGTTGTTGATAGGTGCTGCAACATCCATGGATTGTCAGCAGACATCACCTGTCAAACCATAGACTACATCACGTGAGCAGTGTATCGAAAATCAAGGTGAGTGATGATGATTAACAYGTGATGATTGTCAAATCACCATTTTTACTAAAACAACCAACCCACCTTGTTTTGTCGTATTTCTACAGGATGCAGTCAAAGCTACATTCTCTGCTCTTCACTCATCACCTGATCATTTCCGTCGCCTCAAGCCCGTCCAAACATCACTYCTCGCTCAAAGACGAACCAAGAAAACACAAAGAGTATAGCGAACTAACATCATCTTCGTTATTATCTAACGTTCATCATGGGTTTCTGTTTAGCTTGATCACTAGTGATATAGTTTGTTTTCTAACGAATCAGGGAGGTACAAAGAATAAAAAAAGAAGAAAATYCAAAAATAAATTAATGGCAATATGGATACTCAGCCTCGGTCCGCTGACTTACGGTCAATCGATTCCAGGAACATTTGGCTTACTCKCTATTGTTGCTTCCAACGAAGACTGAAACATACTTTGACTTTCTACGTGTTACATTTTAAACATGRGAAATTTTGAGAGCTTAGATTTTAATAGTTTGTGATCTTATTCAGGCAGCCATGTTGGATGACAGGCTGAAATTGGTATCCAACATGGCCGCCAGTCATGTGATTGGGTAAAACTTTTCTATCTGAAAGCCTTTYGAGTCAATGCTGCTGTAAATCATCTCCCTTCCTGGAAAGTCTCATCGTATGTTGGCAAATGATCAGGTATCTTTGTACATGCGGTCCAAAATATATTAGAATTGTGTTTGTTGTCAATCTCAAAATGAAAAATCTGGAATAAGATTAGCACTATCTACTTGCTTTTCTTACTCTTTCATTATATTTGAATGTTGGGATACCTATGTAAAATATAATCGGTCATCCCAGACCTCTTGGTTCGTATTTTAAGAGAGGAAACTGGGAATGAATTTTTGCCGAGCGTGGCCTGATACAGAGGTCAACGGTTTGACTTCAGTTTTCGTATTTTCTAAGAAAAAATATTTCAAAATTTAATTGATGAATATCAAATGCAAATTGCAATGCAACAATAAAAATAAAGCAAGCTGTCAAAAGGAMTGAGCTTGATCGTAGCGAATAATTTTCCGTAATTTAAATCAATTTTTCTATRAAGCATTTTCGAAATATTTTTCTATGTTTCTTCCACTTGGAATTTGATACGAAAATGATAATTTTTCTCTTGTACTTATATGAATTTTTCTTGTTCCAYGAACATTTGCTTGTGAAATGCAGTATTTAGAGTGTCTGTAAATTCTAGGGATGTGCAGTGTAAATGAAATAAAACCTTTGAAGAATTTCTGCCTGTTGCTTCACTGAATGTCTACTTTAATTCGTTTCCATGGGAACAGTCATTTAGCTATCCAAATAGAACCCTRAAAGAACCCGGGCTGATCAGAGTCAGGGAATGACTAACTCACAGATCAAACCTTGAAACAACAACCTCTGGGCTGAAAAATAATGAAATGGAATGCGTTTGTAAAACCGGGGAAAACRCAAACCCAAACGCAAGCAAAAGTACCTGTATAAACTAAAGTAACACAAACGCAAGACCAAAAATATACTTTGCCTGGGCATACGGTTTGATAAGGAATAAAAAATTTTCAAAAGGCCATCAACAGCAAAGTGTGATATCGTGGATATTGAAAGATCCATGGTCTGATGGTGATGGCCTTTGGAGAAAATCCGAAGTATTCAAAGTAATAAAAAAATGACAAATCTTCTTGTGTTATGAGAAAATGCTTGTTGCTCTTGATAAAAATATGGAAGTGCTTTCCCCAAATGCCATTAGTTTTTCTTACTAACTATGGCACAACAAATTAAGTTTATATAATTTTTAAAACGTTGAACTTATTTAGCTACAGCAAACATTTGAGTTAAATAATTATAAATGCACCCTTTCGTATCAGGACTGTAAAAATGGACCACAAAGTTATGGTAAAGAATAGAGACAACAGAATATAAACTAACAGAAGGAATCCCCACACCCCATCATAAGCACTTTTTAGAATCATTGATGCTGTTTTTAGATTCATTTATTTGATCGTTTGTTTTTTTCTGAAAACAAACAATGGCAAGTATGATTCTAAAAACAGCATCAAATCGTGCTTATGATGGTTAAAACATGAAAACCTGAAGTTCCTTCTCTTAGTTCATTTTCTCTTGATAGAGACCTTTGGGAAAAAAGAAGAAAAAGTTTGTTATTTTACTAAGAGCTCAAATTATTTTTTCTTAATCAATGTCCTGGTTGTTCTGTCTCAATATTTTGTTCGATATCCTTGTCTAGATCTGTCATCAAAGAATTTGCTTTTGAATCCATTAGTTCAGGAAAATCAATCATCCCATCTTTGTTTTTGTCATGTTTTTCCAGTAACTCATCTGCTATTTTCACAGCCTCTTCTTGCGCAAAGTTCTTGCCTCCAACTTTGTCATCTTGGACATTGTCCTCTTCGTGAAAATCTGTCAAGGCACTTAATAGTTCTAATCCATCAAGTTTGTTGTTGTTGTCGTAGTCATGAAGCTTGAAAAAGTAAAATATTCCTGYACGAAAGAGAGGAAAGATTGTCTTTAAAGCATCCGACTTTTGCATCATTATAGTTATGTAGTTAATATAAACTATGTTTGTAGTCTCRTATGCAGCTGCTATTAGTGCCGTCATGCAATGCTCACTCCACTAATAGCGGCTGTCTAGGAGACTACTATGTTTGTTGATATTATAGATACATTTCGCATGTTACATTGATGGCAAAAACAGGTTCTCACAAAAAACCTTACCCTGTCCAGTAACACATTGCTTTATAGCTTATATGTGCAAATCTATTCAAGAATATGTGCAAATCTATCCAAGATCCTATTGAGGATCCTAGTACCAACCCCCCATCCTTCCCCCTTTGTGGCCATGTTGCTGCCTTCTTCAAATGGTTAATGTAGTGATAAAAATAAGGAATATTTTCTTTACTGGTCTTCCTGTGGAAATTATAACACAGGTAACCCATTCAATACAATGATATCACTGCTGCATAAACAATCACCTTTGGCATTGTCTCCTTTCTCRATATCATCTGCATCCTTGCTACCAGCTTCTCCTAATATTTTTCCCAAGTGACTTTTAATATGTCTGCATGTATAATTAAGGCAAATAAATAAAACTTATTAGCCATAATTTCTGTAGACACAGATTTTTAGTCGAAGGGGTTTCACAAGCCTGCAGACAAACAAAACCCTAATGGCTGGAAATCTGAGCCCATTAAGTTGGGATTGCAGTGCATTATGGGACTGTTTAGGGGACATATTTCCACAATGGCACTATTTTATAACCTAAAACACAGTCCGACAAGGCACTGCTATGCCAACTCTAGTCACCTTTGCTATCCTTTGTGTCTAAGGGAGCATCCAAAATCTTACCTAGGGAAACATATCCTTACATAATGATGTATATTACTATAACTACTATAAGACATATCAGACTACAATTAATCAAACAATCAAACTAGTAGTTTTTATTATGTTATGTTATGAACAATTATTGTAAAATCCCGAAATCCCTTTGGTATCTTGAAAAAAAAGTTTACTTATATAGTCCCCTTAAAGGTTACTCTGCCATATTGTATAAATTATGATAATTAATAAACATGGAAAGGAGGTGTACGGGCATGAGTTGTTTCTTGTTCAGTCTCTTGATTATACATTGAAGCTTCTTCTATCGTCTCAGCACAATATTGTCATAAAGGGCTCTCTCTTTTCCTTCTCAACTTTTCTGTTCAGTTCAGTTTAGTTTCAGTGACTCACTGTTCGTCATGTTTCAATGTTAATTAATTTCATCATAATTAATTCAATGGAAGGAACCATGAAATGGACTATCGAACAATACAGTTGTTTACATTTCTTGCTATGAATTTATAATATTATTATGATTGCTGTAAGTGTCCCACAACAGGTTTTCAGTTACCAAACATTCTCATCATATATCTTTACCTTAACCCTTCTCCATCTAAATCCATCCTATCTGATATGTGAGCTAACAAATGCCTAGGGAAAACAATRATATTGAAGTAAAGCAATATGTTAATATATTAAATTCTATTTCATAAAGTATTAATTATTTTCAAAATTATTCATTAATCAAACTATAGTTTATTCAAAGGCTTCATCAATATGCTGAATAATATCTTATGAAAGTTACTTTATTTTTAAAATTTTGCAAGCCTGTTTTATCAAAATGTCTTTCTTTCGTTATTTACTTGAATTTTCCAAATATTTCGCTTATAACCCCCCCCCTCCCCCCCAAAAAAACCCCTATAGGACCAGCTATATTTACAGCTGTTGTCTCTTGCTATTGTGCCATACGAAACAAAAGATCAAATCCTTTTTTAAATAACATTATCTAAAATAAAAAAAATKTCTTCCTGTGACAATCTTATTGGGAATCGTTGAACGTTTAATTTACCCAATGCATAAACTAGTTTTATACCAAAACAAATCAAATCAAAACTGATATTCAACTGCTCAGTTTAAGATTCAAACTCTAGACTGCAAGCAGTTGGATTTCCCATGGCCACTTTCAAACTTCCAATTTTGAATTATCCTCAATTAAATCAATGATCGAGGTATTAAGATATTAAAAGATAGACTTATTACTAATATTATCAAATAAGCTTACGTATAGGATTATTAAGCTTATGAAGCTTGAATAAAAGAAGAAAATATAGAAAATATTGAGCTGATCGCCACCTGTAAGCTATATCTACAGCTAAAAAAAGGAATATTTGTAAATATTTTCTATTTTTCCTACTTATATCGCACTCAGATTTACCTACCCTCTGTCGTCTGCGTGTTGTGCATGAAATTCCTCGCTATCAGCAYCATTGCTCTTTTCATCTTGCACTTCCGACATGCAAGACAAAACACAACTAAAAATCACCAATAAAGACACTACTCGCGAATTCAGTCCACTCATTTGTARTTTTTGTTCCTATAGATCTAGAATTAAAATGTAATTCTTAAAAAGCAGAATTTTACTAGCTACATGTAATATCAACACGTTCAAGTTTGTAAGCAAACAGAGCGATCTGGACTGGTAAACATTCATGACTCGTCTTCATGACTAAATCGTATTCGGAATGCCTTCGGAATCCTYGCGGCATCTCTCAACTGGTTATCGTTCCGGGTTATCGTTATCGATCAACCAACAACAATCTTGTCTTTCGCTTTCCGTACTGAATCAGTAAAGCGTCAAAAAATGCGTGGTTATCTTATTTTAGCTATTTAGTATCTATTTAGTATGTAAAACATTTTTAAAAGGAATTTTTATTCATTTTCTTTTAAAAGGCTTTTATGAAGTTTTGGCGCAGTGACGGTACGAATGACTTCCGACGCTTCTTGGACTGGAACTAGTTTAAATTTTGGCGCCTTTCACTTTTCAGCAGATGTCTGGCTCTTTCGCACATTTTCATCATGTTTTCCTAAAATACTTCGGTTTTCTTTATYTTTCCTTCAAAATTTGTAACCATTTTGTGTGCAAACATGGTATTAAGAGATTGTAGTGTATCATGCACCTCAGTTTATATGTTTTTAGCCTTTTGAACTCAATTTAAAGCCTTTTCGGTAGAAGAATTTCGACATGGCAAAAGATGTCTCAGAAGTCACGCGGTTGTGTCTCATGTTAACTTCAGAAAAAGCAAAGGAAAGAAAAGTAAGCAACGAATCTTTTAACAGTCCTTTTTTAGCATGTGTGTGCTTCTTTTTGAAAGAAATTCATGCATCATTTTATGTCAGGCAAATTAGCAAAGTTGTATGTGTGTCTGAAGTGGAAGGGGGGGGAGGGTAAACGTTAAGATATTAAAAAACAACAACATTAGGGCCCCTTACTACCTAAATCACTCGACTGTTAGGACACCCGGCTTAGGACATGTAAATTCTATAATAGAAGTTCTAGATTGCACATGTGTTCATAGACTTACTTAGTATCTGTTGATTCTCTAATGATCTGGTAAATAATTAAAAAAATACTAATTATGATTTCTTTAATACTTTTAAATCACCAATTCCAGGATTCCTGTGTGTCTGTGCAGCGTTACCTAAAGGAGGCACATGTGCGACAAGCCATTGATGAAAATACTGATCACAAGAGGAAGAATTCATTGACCTGGGATGTGATATTCTYAAGGGCAAAGGAATATGTTATCATGGAGATGGAGCACTTGGATGGMTTGTCTTCAAAGAAAAGTGCAGCAGAAATCACAGGCTCTACAAAGACAAGCAGGACTAACAAAATTATGGTAGGTTATGGAAAATATGGGAGAAAATAATAAAGTTTGTGTTATTTCTAAAACTTTAAATCTTCCATCCTCAAGGGCACTTGAAAAGCTCTTACAAAAGATGCTCTTAGAAATGTGATTGTGACAAAATGAAAGATAGACCGGGAGTATACATATTCATGTTTGTGGTACTYTATGGTAAATTTGAACAGCACACAGTTGCTGTACAGGTATATTGATCACTGTAGTCTGATGATAACTTTGGATTGTTGGTGAATATTTTGTTACTATCTTTCTTGTTCTGTGAGTTGGGTGCCACAAACATAAATATATATACTGTACTTGGTCCATCTTTCAGTTGGTATTTACTAAAATTTTGGATGTTGATGGATCTAAGAAATGTGCTTGATTACTCTTTGAAAATAGACCTCTTTAGCTGAKGGCACAATGYTTTTCCATYTCAGACCAAGTGTCATTYCCTAGAGTATCATTTCTTTGTTTATTGGTTTAGTCCTAGTCTGCATGCAGTCCAACTTTTAACTCTGGGAGTTATAGTTTGGCATCATGCAGGCCATGGTTGTCATCATGAATTGATTTTTTGTCTCAAACCTTAATATGCCGCTAATATTTTAATTTTTAAAGCATATTATTGAAACCATATTTTCAACTTTTTAATCCTCAGTCAGTTGTTTCTTTCATCAGTTTTGTCATCAAAGTTGCTGATTCACGTAAGTCTTTTTTACAGTTATTGAGATCATAAGACAACCAACTCAAACCAAACGATTTGAAATTGAATCCTGAGACAAAACCAGCTCTGCTTACATGTACATGTGCAATGCCAATTTAGTCCAGGAATTAAACCCAAGATTGTAGAGGTGGGACTTGTGTGCACTACAGCTACGCCATTCTCAATTACTCTTAGCAATCAGCTACATTAAGCTAGCTCATAAGAGATGAATCCCACCACAAAAATGAAAAAAAAAAATAGAAATAAAAAAATAAATCAGTGCTTGTCCCCTGGTATAATATAACATTTCTTTGGATAGCCATGAGTTTTCTGTTGTTGTTAAATTCCCCTGTGTGTTTTGCACCTCCTTACCCTGGTTCCTCTTACCAAAAACTGATAAATATAAGGCATAAAATCAATATGACTTTGACTTATTTGTCACATATGAGTAGAGCGGTTTGTTCTCCTGTTCTTCAAGATTTTTTCTCWGGAYTCTYTGGTTTTTYCTCCCTCCACAAAATWAACTAAATTCTAATTTRATCTATTGGTTGCCTTATCAAGTGGGTTGTAAAATCTGTTAGGCTTTCCATCCACCCTGAAGTGGTAAATCTGATGACTATTGTTTTTAATTTATTATTCATTGCAGGAGGGCCACACTTGAAGATTTCAGATGTCACYTCCCACGTCTTATTTGTGCTGAACTCAGAGTTGTCAAAATATATTGGAAAAGCTTACTGCCAGATCCTTCTTAATCTTCTCAAGTCAGCAATAAACATTCCCAAATACAAACAGGAGATACCCCAGCAGCACTGGAAAGGTAAGGAAAGACAAGTTTTTTTCTTTTTGTAAATGTACAGCTGTACAGTCAATTCAAAAWATKTTATTATCGACTGGCTCAAACGTATCCAACTGGACCAAAAGGCATTAGATCTCTTAGGTTTGCTTGTTTATTTGATGTATGTTGGCGCAATGGTCAATCAAGGACAATTTGTTTTATACAGTACATTCTACTTTAAATGACCTTTTTATCTTGGTTGTTTTTTGTGCACATTTCAGACCATGTGATGCCACTCTTGGGAGTCAGTTCTTTCATGTGTAGATATTTTTAAATGTTTGTTCTAAAAGAATAATTCTCAAGGGAATGTCATGCAATCTGAAATGGGAAATTTGCATACAAAGCTAAAGAGGTCTATTTAAGGTTTGAGGCTTGAAACAGTTTTTCTTGAGTGCGCACATACTGTACTCTACAGCTGATGACTTAGACATTGCAATTGAACTAATGCAAAAGGAAAAGTTTGTTCTTAAAAATTTCAATATTCAAACTGAAAAAAACTAAAAAACTGTAYGGTGAAATTTCTTCAAATTTTGCATATGGCTTTGATTTATGTTTTAAGGAAAAATTTAAAAAATTCTGAAAGAGAGAGAACTATTCCAAACAAATTTTATTGATTTTTACGAATTCCCTCTTTTAGAATTTTTCTTTTTTCACCAAATTTTAGATTATGATACGAAGTTTAAAATGAGTTATGATTTTTTTAATGAACATTTTTGATGGCATACCAAGGGTTCTGATGTTGTCATAGTAACATTGTATGTCATTCTTTTCATGTTCATTGTGGTCTTTGGTCTATGGCCTTTGGCTTTCCAGTCTTACTTGCTGTCATAATCTATATATTAGTTCATAATTGTGAGTCTATGTGAAGGCACAAAACACTTTTCAGGAGCTTCCTTCCACACGTGTCCGCAAATTTTTGTGTCCGTATCTGCAAATTTTACGGAAACGGATATGTGTGGAGGGTGAAAACGATTTGAATAYGCTGCATGTGGACGCAAACATTTTTGTATCCACAAAAAATAATTTGYGGATACAAAAATTTCYGGATAGGTGTGGACGGGGCCTTAATGTCTCTTTTGTTAACAGAAATGCTAGATATCTTTATTACCTTTGCTGCTGATCCACCATCATGGCTACCAAAGGATTCTGGTCATGTAACCAGTATAATCCAGCTTGTTATCACTTGTGCACAATGTCAAGTTCTGCAAAGCCCAAAGCTATTCAAATTCTTCTCAGAGGTCTTCAAAGATCACAGGTAAAAATTATAAAAGTTTGATCAAATACATCTTACTGTACCACCAAAAGTCTCTTGTTGCTTGTGGATGATTCTTGARTTTTATCTTGAATGATTTTGTTGTGTTATTTTCCGTCAATAAATTTGGGTCCACAGAGTTGTCCGTATTATAGAGATGTCCACAATATAGAGGTATCTGTGATATAGAGATGTCTGTAATATGATAT